CGGGTAATAAATAACCCATCAATCTTGAAAAAGTTTCTTTTTTCTATCAAAGAAGTTTCAGCGTTTTATTGTCTTCATCAATTTCCCAAAACAGAGTTCAATCCCTTTCACTTAAAATCTTGTCAATTTTATCAAATGAAATCTTCCAATCGGCTTCGTCAATCATTATCATCTCAAACCTGATGACCCGGCACATATTATACTCATGTGATGATTCGTATTTATATTAACACTTGCATAAACACATTCAATCATTCGTTATTGAGATTTATCTTCTATTTTTTTTTTAGTCCGTACTGATTAAAAAAACTTCCTAATCGTATATATTAAAAAAAATATTTTTCTAGAAAATAGAATTATATTTACATCAAATGAAAACTTATCTGATAATTTTAGTTGGTGGAGAGTAATCGACCAATACAATTTGGAGATATATAGGAATGTGATGATTCATCTCTTTTTTTTTGATGTCATTTGTTGTTGTTTTTTTAGTCCTTTCATTCATTCTATAGTCTTGTCATTTTTTTCATACTTACAATATCCATTTGGCCTCTACCATCTGTTATTTAACGTCGATTAACTAAATCATAAAAACAACCAAATTTATTTCGTTGAAAAATTTTAGACAAAAAAAAAACAATGGCAAGTTTCTTCCGTGGAGTTACACAAACACCATTTCAACAAGCTATTGAAAAAGCTACAGATGGAAATCAACCCAATGAAGATTGGGCTTTAATTATGAAAATTTGTGATCATGTTTCAATGCATGAAGAAAGGTATAATCTATTTGATATTTTTTATTTCAAATAAAAATATTTTTTTTTTTGTTTATTAGTGCAAAAGAAGCAATAAAAGTTATTCGAAAACGTTTACAAACAAATCCTGTAACAAATGGATGGCGTACAATTGGATTAACACTTACTGTATATTAATTAATTAATTAATTAGAATATGTTTAATAAAATTTTTCTTTTTGTTTATTTCTAGTTATTAGAAGCTTTAACAAAAAATTGTGGAAAAGTTTTTCATTTACAAATAGCACAAAAAGATTTTTTAAAAGATTTGAAAGCAGTTCTTACTCCAAAAAATAATCCATCAATAGCTATACAAGAAAAAATTCTTGGCATGATTCAAGTAAAAAAGAAATTAAAGATTTTTTTTTTTTTTTTTTTTTATTTAAAATAATCATTTTATTTAGACTTGGGCATTAGCTTTTCGTGATGATCCGGATTTAATTACTGTTGAACAATTTTATCAAGAATGTAAACAACAAGGTTTAGAATTTCCACCAGCTGAACCTGAAAATACTATTAAAGCAGCAGTACCAGCTACAGTAAATTTTAGAAGAAAAATATTTTGAGAAATGAATTTTTTTGTTTTATAAAAATTTAGGGAACAGTTGAACGTCCTATGCAATATTCACGATCAATGGTAAGACAAAACTATTTATTTATTGATTAGATTTTTTTTTGTTCGATAGTCTCAACCAGCACCTGGCACGGCTCATCGTCAAGTAATTAAATTGTTTTTTTTTTTTTATTTTTTTGTGGAATAAATTTTATCTAGGATCGATCGTTGTCGGATGTTTCATCTCAACAAGCTGTTCAGGAACATACTGTTTTAAGACAAATGACACCAGAGCAAATAGCTAAGTTACGTAGTGAATTAGATGTAGTGCAAACCAATGTACAAGTATTTGGTGAAATGTTGGTTACATTACAACCGGGTGAAGAACATCCACTTGATCTAGATTTATTATTGGTAAAAATTTTTTATCATAATTTTCAAGATTTTATTAACCTATCGGATTCACTAGATAGAATTGATAATTGAGGAGTAATAACCATTAAGGATAATAAAAATACAAAACTCAGCTTTATAGTTCATAATGCTTACTAATTTTTCTTTGCTAAAATAAAACGGACCTAAGACAGTTGCTCACATGGGTGTGGCTAAAGAGAAAATTCATAGCCATTTACCTCACGCCGGCGAGTTACTTGTTCGGCTACTAATAAAAGTTATGTATGTTTGTAAAGTATAATAAAAATTACATATGACTATTTCTTTTAATGATTTATTCATTGACAGGATTAGGCAAATACGAGTAAGTGACCTTTTTTTTGGACAAGTAAGTATTTGAGATTGGTTTTGTGAATAGTTTAACATTAGTGATATGTTTATATATATATATATATCAAGAATAAAATAATTTGTTAGTTTTTTTTATATTAAAACTGTTTTATCATGCCTTTCACTTTATCTGAAACTTATCTTGCTTAAAGAATATGTGATTATACACCTAGTTATTTGCAATATGAATATTTTCATAAAGATAGGTAATTTTCTCAAAAATAACACAAATCATATTGTAAGAGAGATTAAAGAGATACCACCAAAAATGGTTAAATGTAAATTTTTTCTGTTCTTTGTATACTTCGAAGTACGCTCTATCTACTGCACATAGTTCAAGAATTATTTTTTGACAAAAATTCGTAAAGCATTGTCTCCGTCTCTTAGCCACAATACATTTGATCGAGCCGAAATTTCCTTCTATTTACACTAGAGAAGTTCTTTAAGGTATCTAGATTGTTATTATTTTAAAGTATGATATATAGCTGGACTTTGCCAGGATTTGCAAAAAAAAAACACACACATTTTAAAGGTTGCTCTCAAGGTTTTCGTGTTTGTATTTGAATGGAAGAAGAAAAACAGTGCCTAATACCGGTATAAAAAATTGTTAATCCTATCGAACGAATTGTAGTTGAGAAATGGGGAAGCATTCAGGACTTTGGAGCGCTTATGTCAACTTTTTCTCTACTCTTCGAGTTCTATCACATGTCATGAAAGTGAAAAAAATTTTGACAATATCATCAAACAATCTCAGCCATTGAAAACCACATCCAGATATTGTTTGTCTTGATTTTCAAAGAAATTTCCGTCTAGTTCTCTTACGCTACCCAAATAGATTTTGTTTTGATCTAGACAAGATGGTTATGGTACCAAACTTTTATGACTGGAACTGAGACCAATATTTTTTATTGAGAACAATAACTTTTATGATCATATAAAACTTCCATTGAATGTCATATATCGCTCATGTCTAGTTTCATTCAGTTTTCGTTCTAAAAGAATCTCCAATCTAATTCATTGTCCCACAGTTTAAGATTCTTTCATGTGAAGATACGTCTTCATTTAACATTGGGTTGATCGTTTATAAAACTAGAATAATTAAATATTTTTTTATGACTGTACAAATAACAATTGATGAATGTTCGAATACATTTTCTTATTAATATCTGTAGATCGTATATTTAGATGTACTCGTTCGATAATATTCTTTATATGATCTAAGACAATATTTTATTTCTTGTTTTTAAGGAATTACATAGAACATGTATACAAATGCAAGCACGAATTATCGATTTACTTTCACAAGTTGCTATTGATGATATAACTGGTAAATAATATGAAAATACTTTTTTTATTTTTTAAATAAATATTTTCTTATTGTTTTTTTTTTGTTTTCTAAATAGTCGATCTTTTACGTTATAATGATGAATTTAATAATTCATTAAAAACTTTTGAAAGTTATATGCAAGAACGTGAAAGACGAGTTGGTCCAGCTCAAATGCCAATATTAGATCAAACAGCATCACCAACTCGAAGTGCAATTCCAACATCTCAATCACCACCAACAAAAGTAGATATTCTCACTTTTCTTTCAAAGTCAGTGTCATCACACTGATTTGTTTTTTTGTTTCAGACGTTATCTTCACCACGTCATCAAGATAATGAACCAGCATTAATCAAATTTGATGAAGAATCATCAACATTACCAACTAATTTACAACAAATGCGTTCGTATTTTAGTTTTATTTTCTCAACAAAAAAAAAAAAATTCTTTTAAAAATATTTTAGATATTAATCCAACATTATCGGATGCAATACCAAAAAATACTTCACAACAATCAACGTAAGTAATAGAAATAATATTTTTCAAATAATTCTTATCAATATTTTCTTCTTAAAGAAGACATATGAGTATTCATTCGTAAGCTGATATTTTGCTCTTTGTTGTTTAACCTACGTTTCTTTTTTTGTATCCTTTCAATGGAAAAAAAAATTTTTTTTGCTGCTCTTTTGCACATATAAAAAATTCGTATTTATTTTATTCTTCATAAATAATTTATTTTATATATATATATATATATTTTTAGGGCTTCAGTATCAACTCGACCTGTTTCAAATCATCAGGTATGAAAAAGAATTTTTCAAAACAATTGAAAATATTTTTAAAAAATCTTTTAGGATCCTGAACGTGATGTAAAAGAAGTTGAACAATGGTTAAATATTTCAAGTGGTAATGATATAGATAATAATTCTCATCAACAAGGTGGTACAACACAGGCATTTAATGAATTTATAGAAAAACGTGCAGCAACTTCACCTAATCAACCAATATCAGAACAAGACATACATATTAATTTACAACCACCATCAACACAAAATCAATCAAATGCATAAACATTAAATGTACATAAACCAAATATAAAACAATATTTTTTTTTTCAACTTATATTCTCTCGCATTCTAATTAAACAGTGTTTTGTTCTATTATGCATATTGTCATGATAAAGAAAAAAATTTTAAAAAAACAAATATACTAGCTTGAAAATGAACTTTTGACTTGTATATCGTATTTAATCTTCTCTTTTTTCTCTTTTGTCAACAAGGGTGCAACATATATTTTATGTACCTGTGCATATTTTTATCTCACCTTGTTTTTTTTTTCTTTCCAGTCTACACCACAATAAGCACACATATAAAACAGTTCTTCTTTTTTTGTTCTTCTATCTCAGTTGATAGAGATAAGCAAGTAAGTAGTTCGAGCGTTATTTCGTATTTTTTGTGAATCGAAAAGGTGAAGCGTATGCTAAAATATAGCATCTATTATTATGTTCTTTCCTTTTTTCTTGTTTCAATAGGTTTTATTTTGTAGAATGCCGGTCAAAATTTATCATGACGATGATGCTGATGTGAATATTGTGCGTAGTAAAACTGTTGCATTCATTGGTTATGGAAATCAAGGTCGTGCCCAGGCATTAAATTTACGTGATAGTGGTGTGAATAATATCGTTATTGGCAATATTGATGATGATTATGCTAAACAAGCTAGTAAAGATGGATTTAATCCAGTAAGTATTGAAGAAGCAGCTCGTCAAGGTGATATTCTTATGTTACTTATTCCTGATGAAGATCAACAAACAGTTTGGAATGAAAAAATTCGTGGTAATATTAAACCAAATACTACATTAGTTGTTGCAAGTGGATATAATGTTGCATTTAATTTACTTGATATACCTAATGATATGGATGTTGTTATGGTTGCACCACGAATGATTGGTGCTGGTGTACGTGATCGTTATGTTCAAAACATTCCATATCCATGTTTTGTATCTGTTGAAAAAGATGTTAGTGGTACAGCTTTAGCTACATGTCTTTCCATTGCTTGTGCTATTGGAGCAACACGAGGTAATGGTGCTGTTGGTTCATCATGCCGTGAAGAAGCTGGTATTGATTTATTTGCTGAACAAGCAATTTGGCCTGAGATTATGGCAATATTTCGTGAAGGCTATAATGTTTTGCATGAAGCTGGATTTACTGATGAAGCTATTTTATTTGATATGTATTTAAGTAAAGAACCAGCTGAAATATTTGAACGTGCTGCTGATGAAGGTTTTGTTAAACAATTAAAATATCATTCACGAACAAGTCAATATGGTCAATTATCAACAATGAATCGTCATGATGGAAAAGAAATACGTGAAAAATTTCGAAAAATTCTACATGATAATATTTTATCAGGAAAATTTGCCGAAAAATGGTCAAATACAAAATGGGCTGCAGAAGAATTAGCTAAAGAATGGAAAGAAGTTGAAAAGGCACCTATTGCTCAAGCTGATCAACGTGTACGAGAAGTTATTAAGCCGGACAGAAAAAAATAGATTGCATTTTTTTGTTTATAAAAATAAATTGTTTTTTGTTAGTTTGATTCAAAATTATTAAAAAAAATCTGAAAAAAATAAAATTAACTTGATTTATGATATACGTTTTTTAGATGGATAAAGAGGAACTAATGACGAAGGATAATATCCAACGAATTATTCTTGGTATAGGACTAACTATTTTTCTTCTGCTTGTTTTTCTTTTATTTGGGTACGTTATTTTAAAGTTCAACAAAAAAAAAAAATATAAAAAATTTCTCTTTGTAATTTTAATATAGAAAAATACATCTTGTCTTCTTCGTTCTTCTATTAGTAATCAGTTATAAATTAACTGACTATTATGTGTACGTAGAGATTTTTTTATTGTTTCAATTTGATTTTATTCAAATATTTAAATTAGATTGAAATTAAATAATTCTGAAACATTTTTGACATGTTGGCCAAATTTAATTGTGTTTTTTGATGCAACTAAAGTATGAAACTTTTTTTTTTCATAATTAAAACAACATAAATATATTCTTCTTTAGAATTTAAAAGAAGAACTTCTACGAAAACAAAAGTAAATATTATGTAATTTTACTTTATACTAACTGTTTTTATTTAAAGTGCAAATTGTGTTTATATAAAAAAGAATCCTTGGGTTCATTTAATGATTTCTAAAGAAATTGATGCAGCCATTACTAAAGTAAATGATTATTTTTGTTTCTGTAAGTAAATAATTAAAAACTGTTTTTTGTTTTTTTTACAGTTTTGTAGTTTATGTCTTCGAGATCATATATACCCATGGTTATCGTACGTATTCATAATCATACAATTAAGATTTAATTAAAACAAATATGCTTCTTTTTAGAACGATTACTCAAGATGATAGTCTTGTTCATGAAACCAAACATGTTTTTCGATATTTATTAGCAACAGTTATTCGTCGTTTACACAATGTAGGATTAGTGTTCGTACTCTTGAACATTTCCTTTGTAAAGAATGAAAATGCATCCTAAACTGTATTTTCTAGCATTTTCTAAATATATACCTAAGTGTTCATAAACTTTTTATATCTGTTTATGCGAGAATACTATATGTTCTAGACTCTTGGATATGGGAACTCAAAAGAAAGTTCGATAATCAGTTCTCAAAGCGCAATTCACCCTCGAGAATTCAGAGATATCTTTAGGGATCTTCAATTCAATCAAGATAGAGCTCAATATGACATATTTCTTTTCTTGCGAATGTTAATGCAAATCAACTTGCATATAAATTTGTAATTCTGTTTTGGGTAAAAAAAGACACAATTCCCAAATTAAATAATAGAAGCTATGAGAGAACTAACCATATGCTCGCTTATAGCATACCAATTAGGAATATCAGAGTTATCCTTCCAGAACTTTCTGTTCTCAGGAAACAAGAAAGCATTCTAGGCTGCGTTAAGTTGCATTTTTTATTTATACTGAAGTGCTCATATATAGTTGTCTATCGTTTTATCTAAAGTATTAGATGTAATATTTACAGATGTTAACTTAGTATAAACTAATTGATCATTTTGAAATAATTGTCATGCAGTAGGAATAAAAAAAGTGTTCTAAATACATGTAGTTATCTTCTGGTGTTAAAAATTTCAATTCTCGATTCTGATTAAGATTTTCTATTGGTCTTATTCTCGATCATGTAGACTAAGTTTTGTTTCTAAACTAAATTACTTTAATAGTCAATGTCAATGTGACAAAATTCATGATCTGCACGAGTTGAATTAATATATATTTGGAAATGGAGAAATGGAGTACAATATTACAGTTAGTTTACTGATTATAAGTGGATATTTTCATCTTACATCTCTTCGAGAAAAATAAAAAGAACATTTTAGAATAAAATATCTAAATGATTTATAAATTTATCAGATTGACATTTTGTATAAATATCAAAAATAAAATTGTGTGATGCATCGACTTTTTGCAACCCTTATCGAATACTATTAATCATTTTCTCATATTTTTTTTTTACAGGAAAATTTTTTCATATATCAATAAAATTTTGTTTGCCATCTTCATATTCACTTAAATCTCGTTGAATTATATTTTGCAAGTTTTCTATTGATTATGTATCATCTATTTGATGTTGAAATGAGTACTGGAACTTTTTAAATAAAATTCCAAGTCATTGGTATATTAGAAGCAGTAGACTTCATAAAATGAGACTGTCAATATGAAATGTTATAAAACTAAAAGTGTAAACAGTCAATATGATGAATAATACTCCATTAAGATGATAAGTCTAATGAAAAAAATTTGAATCTAGAAAGACCTGCATCCCGATAGTATGCAGACTTTACTTTGCCCTATAAACACCTCTGTACATAGTTCTTACAAACGTTTTCAAGCATTGTTTTTTATATATATTGAAAAACATAACTTTCGAGAAAAGCTTAACAATATTTTTTGAAAATTTCTTTTCCAAAGTTAATATATATTGTCTATAGGTTGATATTAATGCTTTTATTACTGAACGACTTATTCCATTAATATTCCAAACCTGTGATCGTTATATTCATACCAAAGAAATCCATTCAGCAAATGATTCAATTGAATTTCTTCGAAAAATGTATAAAGATGATCTTCATATAGCAATGTATAATCGACGAGAAGAATTAAAATATTTAAAAAGTCTTATGCTTAATTTAATGCCAATCATAGCACCAAAATTTATTTATAAATGTAAAGGTTCACGTCATTTTTTATGTGAATTATTTGTATGTCAAATATTAATTGATGGTATTGATGCTATTTGTCAACCGGATACATTAAATCGTTTATTTCATCTTTATTTTACAACTGCTATTGAACGTCGACAAAAAAATAATATTAAAATACAAATAACAAATGAATCAAATACATATGTTGAAATTCTATCACATTTTTGTGCAATGAATGGATCAATACATAAAAATAAATTAGCTTTAGACTTAACTGATGTTATGTATGAAAAAGAATTAATGAATCAATTTAGTCGTGTACTTGATCGTCATGGTTCACTTGGTTTATTAAGTATTTATTTAACATTAACAGATATTTTAAATGATATTCCAATAGCAACAGATATATTAGTAAGAAAAAAAATTTATCAACGTTTAAAACGTCTTGATGAACGTTATTTAAGTCCATTAACTTCTGAAACATCTATTATTATTAGTAATCCATATAATAATGAAGATACACTTATAGATGAAATAAAATATTTAATTTATCATGATTTAGAAGAAAGTATTAAGGATGAGAATGAAAAAAAGTCACATGATTTTAAAAAACCATTTAATATTCAACAAACATTTACATTATTATCAAGATTTCATTGTAAAATTTATGAATTAATTGAAGAAAAATATCAACGAAATTTTTTAACAAGTGATGAACATTTTTTTTATATATGTGGTAGACGTATGGATTCACCCGATTATCGTAATTTGAAACAAAAGTATGCTAGATTTCTATTTGTGTGTGCTGATATTTTTCTTTTCTGTCTATTTTCATTGATAGTAGTCTTAGTTTTGATGAAATTACATCAGATTTTGTACATATTGAAGAGATCAGGTTTGACTGTTATTCTATATTATACCCCAATTTTTCTACCATATTTATTTTTACATATATATTTATTTATATACCGAGCTTTTTGTCTTTTGTTTGACAATAAATTAATAGTTCAGTTTAAATAATTTCTGTTTTTATATTTAGAAATACACATGAAAATACTAATCAATATAGTGCATCACATCGTTATACAACAACTTCATATCAAGGTAAAAATTATATATGCAAATTCGAGGAAATTTTGCGTCCAACTGTATCCTTTCATTAATATTTTCATTTTCATACTTGTAAAAATTACATGCGGAAAATCAAAATTAGTTAAGAAAGCTTTTAGTATCATTCATGTCAGATCAAACAGTGTAATATCATATAGATGTTAGTGTTCATTGAAGAAACTGTTTAATGAGCCAATTACAGTCGATACTGAATGCGCTCTATATTAGATATCGGCAAGCTGATCTTACACCAGTTTTGTTTATGACTGGAAAACTAGAACCAATATTTTTTGTTATTAGAAATTATATCTGTTATGGTTGTATAAAACCTGCATCGAATGTCATATCGTCACGACTCATATGTTCTAAATAGATATGGTTCTGGTTCCACTAGGACTGAGGTCAAGTCAAGCAATTCTTTTCTGACCCGAGCCTCGCATCCGTCGGGTTCAAAATTTTCAAACTCAGTGAGTCGAATATTTTCAAACACAGATCCGACTGAGTCTGAGACCAACTCGACCAACCCTATGAAGCTGTAATTAAAAATTACTAGTCCCATTCGTATCTACTTTATACTATAGCTGAAAAGAATAATTTGTCAAATAACCAAGTAGTTATCACTGTCATGGCTATGTCTATCATCATCTGAGAATGTAACAAAATCTTGTCCTATACTTTCACACTTCTTTTATTTCGTATTTCATAAATTCTTAGATAGATTGGTTATCTGACTGCAATAATACTATACGAAAATGATAATGAAGATAAATGCAAAAAACAAAACAATAGAGACATAGAATGACATGGAAGTCTTTGTGTGCATTATCCTATGTCAGCTATTGATGAGTTATTCGAATGACATAAATGTTTACTAATATTTAAATATTTTTTTCTTCGTTTAAATCCCTCCTGAGATTTAGACATATGTATATTATAAAATTCCTAGCAATCTCTTTTGTTTAATGACGTACATTAAAGAAAATATGTTCTTCGTTGTAAAAAATCTCTAGATTGTTATGTATTATTTGTCTATTCTTTTTTTTTCATATTTCTAATTGAATCTATTTATACATTATTGATTATTAACTAATTATCACAAATTTATTTTTGAAATTTGATAAACAATGAATATTTTGTAAAATTGAATTTATGCAACAGTTCTTTTTTTTGATATTTTAGAAATGGAAGAAAAAGATAATTTATATCTTAAATGCCCAGAAGATACAGCAAGTATTTCTAGTAATAGTGTAGGTTAATATTATTATTATGTTTTGTTTTCTATTATAATTTAATTCTATTTAGTCATTAGACGAAAGAGATATGAGTACATGGCGTATTCATATTAGTCATGCTGAAGAATTCCGTGAAAGTTTGAATTCTAATTCTAAATATTGTGCATTGATGATTGAAGTTCAACGATTGGATGCAAATAATGGTATAGATTTATTTATTTATTTATTTTTAATCAATATAATAAAATATATCATTATAGATAATCCATTAATTAATGATGAAGAAAAACCTCATAGAGTAGTTGCAAGGTAAATAAGAAAAATTATATTTATAATAAATTGACTATCATTTATTTTTATTTTTATTTAGACGTTATCAAGATTTTTATTTATTAGAACAAAAATTAACTGAATTTCATGGAATTTTTTATGATGCTCGTTTACCATCTCGACGATCAGCAGCAACAGCACGAAGTCTTGAATTTCTTGAATCAATTAAACATGAGTTTGAACATTTTTTACGAGTAAAATTTAAAATTTTTTTTATGTCATATTTTTACAATTGGTTTTATTTTAGCATTTATTATCCAAGCCAACATTACGTAATAGTGAATTATTATTTAATTTTCTAACACAACCAGATGATTTTACTTTACCTAATGGTGAAATTATTCTAGCTAAAATGTTCAAAGTTGTTCCACGTCGATTACGTATTGAGGTATTATTTATTTATTTATTCATTTGAAAGGTTATTTCTATATTCGAATTTAGAAAGGACAATCTCTTGAACCATTTCTTATATCATTATTAAATTATGCTGAACCAGCTAAATCAAAAGCAACACAACCAAGTCCTGTGTTTAATGATATTATTGAAGAAAAAGTATAAATATATTTCATTTTCTCATTGAATAACTTATTATTTTCTTTGTTTAGCTGCAAAATTCCATTTATGGAAATAATGCAAATATTACTGAACCATTTTTTGAACCCATAATAGAAGAACCTATGAATCCATGTCAAGAAGAACTTGATAGTACTTATGATTATTTAATTTTTATAGGTAAATAATCCTATTAGAATATATCTTTCAGCAAGTTTTATTTTATGTTTATAGCTAAAAAAATTTTTTCTGCATCACCATTATTAATTCATTTATTGAATTTATTTCGTGTACCATTGAAAAATACATTTGATACATTCTTTTCATATTTTATCGAAAATAGAATGGATGATATATTAAATGATGAAGAAAACATTATTCTTGTTATTCAGGCTCTTCAAGGTATTTTAATTTCTATTGAAAAAGATGATTGTTATTATGAATCCTATTTTAGATACTATTTTTCCTAACGATGCAGAAGATAAAGAGTAAAGCTAAGAATTAAAAATTTTGAAAGGATTAGAATTTTTTAAATAATAATATCTATTTAGATCAACTGATCTGGTGAATTTTGAAGATGTTGTTGCAGTAGCTGAACAATTTATGCCAAGTATGAATATGATAAGATTTTTTTTTGTTTTAAGATTTATAGTTCATAAGTGTGGAAAATATCAAATTTTTTACAAAAAAAGTTATCAACATAGAAAAGAAGAATTCCTCATGAAAATAATTGATACTAAGTTAACGAGAAAAGGTTGCGAACTATTCAATAGCATTTTAGTCGTAATTCACAGGATTATGGGTAAACGATTAACATGATTTGTGCCGCTAGGCTCAGAGAACTCCAAATTCTGATCTGTTGAAGTTCGGTAACGAAGAAAACTTCACAACAGCTTTGTCTTATTCAAAGTTTTTTTGTAGATTCAATAGGGTATGAGTGGTGAGGGAGTTTCGATTTCATCTATATCAACATTCTTTTTCAGTAACAGATGAAGTAGAATCTAAATTTAGTTTGGCATTAATTAAATCCATTAGAAAGTTTATGATATTGGCAAGATTCATGTTTATCTAATAAATTGATTTTATTAGATGAACAAATTGACAAATTATAATGACATGGCTTAAAATAGATCAAAATTCGAATGAAAAATCTGAATTAAAGTAAATAATAAAACATGTAGAATGTAAATGTTGAAAGAAAAAGCGTGACAGATAATAATAATTCAAACGTTTTCTATACTCAACTCGAGATGTTTTACGAACTAGATGGATGAAAAAGAAATTTTGACAAAAAACGAAAAGCAACAAAAACCATGTTGATAATCGGAATCAACAAGCTCGATTATTAACAACTTCCAAAGGCGTAGTTAAAAACAATTGAACAATAGATGAACTTTCTCGTGAATAAACATGGGCAAGACGATCTCGAGACCAAAGCTGTTTCATTGGGAGTGATATCTTTTATGACACTACAAAACTTGCGTCAAATCTCATATTGTCACGACTCATGTGTTCTATAAGTTTATACGAAAACTATTTTAATATATGTTATTACAATTTTGATAATATAATTAATCCTTTTTTTGTAAATAACAATATTAGAGGTTATGTGAGTTGTGCAAGACATTCCGAGCTCATTTTCCACTAGTGTATGTAATATTAAACACGACGCGTGTAGCAAGAACTTTTCTGAACGAGGAACAAGACCGATTGATTTCGTTCATCACTGCTAGTGGATTCAGTTGAGAAAATCGATAATCTATTTCTATGCTTTGATGATTAAATTTTAATATAGAATAATAAAAACTAACAAAGATTTGATAGGTATCGAAATGATTTGAATCTGTGTTTTTAGATGTGATCAAACTTATTTTCGGTGAATCTAATGTACAGCATGGTTTACAAATTCTTTTAGAACATTTCCAAGATCCATTACTGAACAAACAAGTAAGTAGATTTATATATTAAATATATTCTATTTACATGATATATCTATTAGTTATTTTATATGCTTCTTGATGAAATTCTTTTTCAACTTTTTCCTGAATTACAATCACATTCCGAAATGTCAAGAACCAATACAATAACAAAAACAGAATGATTTTTCTTTAAAACAGATATTTATTGAGAATAAATAAATATTTTAAATTTCATTTAATTTTGTCCATTTTGCTTTGTTTCTTTGCTCTTATGACAAACAATTACCGGTTATTTTATTTTATTTTTTTTTTTTTGTATATAACCATATCAATAATCTCACCACTGTTTGACGTTGTTTTGTTTTTCTTGGTTGCTTTGTTTTTATTAAATACTTTCAAAGAAAAAAAAATTTCACTTGTCATTCTAGATAAGTGTTGTGTATTCAATCGAATGGCACACTTATCATTTTTGATAAGTATTTTAATGTTTGTATTTTGTCATTTATATAGAAATACAACAATGTGTTCAAATTTCGAATGATTGTTATTCAAAAGATAGTCCAACAATAAATAAATGTCAGACACGAAAATTGTTGTTGATGATTACCTATTTAACAATTCAATTTGACTGGTTTTCATAATGTGAATGTTTCATATTGTTATTATGCATTAGGCCTTCCAGCTTATGAAATAATAATTTTTGATTAATGACTTCAAAGTTTTAAATCGCAAACAACATATATACCACATGATACTCTTGATTTAACAGTTGATCTTATCTATGAAACTGAGCTATGATTTCATATTTGATTCTATGGTTCAGTTTATAAACGATATAAAGTCTCACTACAAACACATACAATGGAAAAGAAAGCTAATATGATTGATTATGAGATTTTGGTGAAATCAAAAGCATTTGCAATATTTGTCACTCAAAAACCAACAGATATCACATAGTGAGGTCGAATAAAAAATATTAATAAGAGTAAGTCTATACGAATGTTATTTATGAAGTCGAATGCAGTCTGTAACTGATCAATGAAAATCTTTTATATAAACATTGTTATTGCTTCTTGTGGATCTGAATTTAAAAGTTTCGATATTTGGCATCACTAACTTTAATCTATTTAAATAATACTAAAATATATAAATGAAAACACGACGTTCGTTTTTCATTTTACAATATATAAAAGCTATCACGACTGAATGGCTATATTGTTCAGCATGTATTCGCAAAGTATTGAAGACAAACCTCAGTACCACTAGCTATGGAATGACCCTGGACAATTTATTAATGACTGTTTGTCATGAATTACCCGTTCGATAGCATGTTGAATACGTTGTGATATACACCTGCTCTTGTGGTTAATTTGTGTGTATGGCGAGCTCAAGCCATGGAATGCAAGAACTCTACGTTAGGCTCGCCTTCTGTTCATAGCTACAAATACTATTAGTTGTAAGACAGATACAGAATTATTGAATCTATCTCAAGATAACTGAAAGGCAGAGTTATTCTTCCTTTCGATAGTGTATTAAAAAATTTACTGCGACCCAGAAGGCTAATAATATTGATTTCAATTATGTCAAGTTTTTACTTATGCATATTTGAAAACGTTCTTTTGCATTCATTAATGAAAGGAAAATCGAACTGTTATTCTGGTTGTCTTTTGATTATTATAGATAAATTACTAAATCAATGAGTTTGACGAATTCAAATAGTCGTGTTTTTGTTTAAGTGAAACTGAGTATTTCTATATGACGGTAACAAAGGATGCTAAAAGTGAACATACAAGATATCATGAAACGATCGCAATGTTTTTGTTAATATAGAAAGTCTTTTGATAATATTATTACTAAGAACAAAGTAATATAATTTTTAATCTACTAAATCAAATATGTTATTCTGTAGAGATCTAAGTGTTTTCGGCACTGAAATATTGTTGTACTCGAATTTAATTATTGCATTATTTTGAAAACTGGAACGATTGGATGATGAAATTATTTTAAAATGCAATCAGCACTTCTAGTACACAAATATAAAGCAAGTTTATCGTACAGAATTCAAAGCATTCGATAATCGATTTCTTTATGTAGAATACACTCTACGCGTTTTGTCTTCAAATGAATTTTCTTCAATCCTATCCTTCAACAGTGTTTGTTAATGTATTAGTGTCGGAGAAATTTTACACCCTTTCCCATTTTCTCAAATTGATTAGAAAGCCTAAACAATTGTATTGTAGATAATATGGTTTTGTATGATCAAATTTAACTATTTTTTTCATTTAGATTCGATTGTAGCCTATTATGAATTATCTTTACTGATCGATTCGACTATCAAGCGCATTGCTATATGATCTTAATGAACATGAACAACCATTGTTAATCTCATTCACTTAGATTTCATCTTAGTCGTTATGGGTATAATAGTATTAACAATTTATTGGTAACTATTCAAGTAAAATTTCTTAAATCTTGAAACAAAAAAAGATTTTCTATATGATGTTCAATGGATAGATATTGATATAATGTCATACCATGTTGAGTTTACATATGATGATAAGCTATCTTTATCGATGATATTATGGACTTAATCTCAGAAATGTTGGATAAAAATATTAGCAAAAAACAAAAGATATTGTTGATAACAATGAATGCATATTTGATTTTTTATTTTTATTTCATTAGGGAAATTTATGAATTAACAAAAGATAAGTATCGAAAATGTATTTTAATTAGCGATAATCACTTACTCTAAATCAGGTTTCATCTTATTGTGCATATTATTCTTATTCAAACCAAGTTTATTGTGAAAATTTGATAAACACGCAAAACAAGTTTAAAATTTAATTCTGCTAGCTATAAAAATCCATGAGAAAGCCAATAAGATTCTCAAATAGATATAACAAATTTTGACAAATAAAAAGAGTACATGATAGACATGTTTATTAAAGAGAAGGGAAAACCTAGACTTTAATTTTGATACTTCAAGCAATACAACTGAATTTTGCTAAGGAAAGAATGTTTTTGACTGATCTTCGAAATCAACATGATTGATAACCAGCACTTCATAAACTTCTGATAAGAAAGCAATGGATTCGTTGAAAACGTTTCCTAATGAAATATTATTGGTGAATTTCTTGAATCTTACACTCCAGCTTTTAAGTTCGATCAAACTTGTTTCATGAATTACACCATCTATATACTGGTCTTCAAGTCGCTTTATAATATTTTCATGGTACATTCCTACATGGAGAAGTTAGTGAATATATCTTACATACAGTTATAACAAAGAGAATGAATCTTTTGACAATTTTATCTCGTTCTTTATTGATTTTAGCTTTAATGATAAACAATTATTAGTTTTCTTGATTTTCTACTTGTATATTATCATTTATATGCATGCATTCTTATTTCTTCATAAAAAATACTTTAAAAAGAAAAACAATTATTTTTTGTAGATATCTAGTAGGTTTAATCGGATGGCATGTTCATTATTTGTGACAAGTATTGCAATCTTATTGTTTGTATCTTATACATATGCACAACAATGTGAGCAACCGTCAAATGTATCTCGATTTGATTGTCACCCTGAAAACGATCCAACAATAGATAAATGTCTTGAACGAAAATGTTGTTGGAAATCACCTAGTCAACAATCGAATTCTATTGGTTTTCGTGATTTACATGTACCATCTTGTTATTACCCATCAGATTTTCCAACCTATGAAGTAACATCAAGTAGTCCAACCGATTTTGGTCAGCGAATTCGAATTCTTAAAACACAAACAACATATATGCCACATGACATTTTGGATTTAACAGTTGATCTTATCTATGAAACTGAACAACGTTTTCGTATTCGAATTTATGATTCAATTTATGTACGATATGAAGTTCCATTACAAGTACCTGTAGTGGAAAAGAAAGCTGATACGACTGATTATGATGTTGCAGTAAAATCAAAACCATTTTCATTACTTGTTACACGTAAATCAACTGGTGTAATACTGTAAGTTAAAATAATTTTTTTCTTCGAAAATTCAGTAGTATATAGCATTACTATAATCATATCTGAGAAGGACATATGAATTGAGTTTTATTTATGAATTTTTGTCTTCATAATGATATTTATCTCTCACTGTATTCATATAAGAAATAGTCTTACAGACAATTTTATTGAAATATCAATCAATTCATTTCGTTAAGAAAACATCAAACAAATTTTTATTTTCTTCAACTGGTTTTCAATAAATAATAAAAATTTTGTGACGATAATAATGCATGTCATTAAGTATTGTTTTTTGTTTAGATTCGATTCAAGTGTATCACCACTTATGTTTGCTGATCAATTTATTAAAATTTCTACTCGACTATCAAGTCCATTTTTGTATGGTCTTGGTGAACATCGACAATCATTATTAATCAATGTAACAGATAGTTGGAAAAGATTAACATTCTATAGTCGTAATTTTCCACCACTCGAAAACTTCAATCTGTATGGTGAATATTCTTCTTTTTTGTTAAATCAATATTTTGAAATAAATAAAACATACATAATTAATAGGTGTTCATCCATTTCATATTAATCTTGAACAAGCACCAAATAATCAAACAAGTGCTCATGGACAATTTTTTCTTAATTCAAATGCAATGGATATTGATCTTCAACCGTTACCTGCTCTAACTTATACAACTATTGGTGGTATTATTGATTTGTATATTTTCACAGGACCTACTGTACAAAATGTTATTGAACAATATTGGGATATCATCGGAGTAAAAGAATAAGAAGAATTTATGATATGATGTCTAATTGATTGTTTTAGAAACCTATGATGCCACCATATTGGTCACTTGGATTTCATCTTGGTCGTTATGGGTATAATAGTACTGATAATTTATTAGCAACTATTCAAGTAAGAATTCTTAAAATGATGAAACAGCAAAAAACTTTTTTTTCATTCTTACTTGATATAGAGAATGCATGACGCAGATTTTCCATATGATGTTCAATGGACAGATATTGATGCAATGTCACATGATCTTGACTTTACCTATGATAATCAAAAATTTCATGGTTTACCTGAACTCATCAGTGGATTACAATCTAATGGAAAACATTATATGACTGTTATTGATGCAGGTATTAGTTCAACTCAACCAGCTGGTTCTTATTTTCCTT